AAATGGGAGGGGGGGAGGGAGGAAAAGGAGAGGGGGGAGAGAGAGGAGAGAGTGAGAGGAAAACATTTATGGGAGAGACACATCGATTAGTTGTCTCCCTCATGCACCGACCAGGCTGGGGATTTAGCCTGCAGTCAAGGCACGTACCCTTGGCCGGAACTGAACCTGGTACCCTTCAGTCCACAGGCTGACACTCTAACCACTGGGCCACACGGGAAACAGGCCATTATTTGCTTTTAGGCAGGGAACCTGGGTGGCTGGGGCAGGAGTGGGAAGGAGGTCTTGCCTCTTGTACCCTTATAACTTTGATACCATGTGACTGATAGTCCCTGAATACCCATGAAAGTAGAGATGGAGAAAATGCCCAAAAGCATGGGGAAAAGGTACAAAAAATCCAGTTTAGTAAGAATAAGAGAGGATTATTGTTGTGTTTTCTTTTTAATAAAGAAGAAGGAGGACCCAGTTCTTTCATTCTAACCTAAGACGCCTAGGGCCTTCCTGTGTCTTTCATTCTGTGCATTTGGTACATAGGAATTTGGGATCAACTTTTGAGTATGCTAAGCCTTTAATGCTTATTTGTTAGAAATCTAATGGAGTGCTTTTATATAATGTATTTCATAAGTCACACTATAGAGACTGGAATGAGTGGGATCATTTTCCTCCCTGGAGTGGAGGCTTGGCTCCCTTGCTTGTTCCTCCCATTTAAGCACGAAGTCTGACCTCCTTTCTCTGAGTCAGATAGAAGTAGGCCAGACTTGTTAATAACAAAGGTTTGAAGGTGGGGAGAGGCAACTCACTGGGCATGCGACCTTGGAAAGTTACTTACCTTCGCCTCAGTTTCTTCATCTGTGAAATAGGGATGTTAAAACGTACTTTATAGAATTGGTTGGACAATTGGAGATGGTTTGTACAAATGATCCAGCACAGAGGCTGATACCTCAGGCAGATTATTGGAAATGATGTAATCATCATTATTGGTTAGCGCCTGTTGATTTTAGGCCCCTTGAGGGAGTAAAGGATATGAGGTTCTTTCCATTGAGAATGACAGATGTTTAGGGGAAGAAGGACTGTATCAGTTATCTGTCGGTGTGTAACAAACCGCCAAAATGAAGTATTCTAATTCTGTGGTTTGGCTTGGTTTTTCTACTTTTTAGTGTTATTTGTGTAGCTGCAGTCAGATGATGACTGGAATGGATGAATGGTCCCAACTGGCCTCACTCACGCCCTATAGCTGCTATTAGAAGTCAGCTGAAGAACATGGCCTCTCACGTTTTGGAAGCTAGAGCAGCTTCCGTGCAGCATGGCAGTCTCAGGGCACCATTCTAAGAGGACACCCTCCAGTGCTGGCTATCAAATCTCTGCTTTGCAGTTGCTGGGTTCCAACTGGTCAAAGCAAATCACAGGGCCAGTTCCCGAGTCACTGTGGGAGGTGACTTAGACTCCACCTTGGTGGAGGAGTAGCAAAGAATTTGTGTCCATTTCACAAGCCCAACCTTATTTGATCTGTTTCTTGGGCTAATATTGGGCCTAGAAAGAAAAGGTTCTGTTGGTTCCTCCTGTTTCTTGTAACACTAATACCTTCTCTAGTCCAACATATGAGCTATTAAGGAACTAGAGATATTTCATTTGAACTAAAAATTGGAGAGAAGGGTAATAGCTGCTCTTATGTATTTAAAGATCCTTCTTGTGAGGAAGGGACCAGTTCCAGGGCGTGGAGATGACTGGAAAGCAGATGTCTCCTCCCTTTAAGGAAGGATTGCCATGTGAGATAGTGAGTTTTGAATTCCCCTGCCCCAGCCTGCTGCCTTGTTAGAAGCAGTGAATAAGGAGACTAAGCACGCACCAGGGACTCTGAGGGAGCATTTCCCTCACTGAGTGACTTGCCTTACATAATTCCCATTGGTACTAAAGTCTCTGATTCTGGAACTCAGAAAGCCCACTGTGCTTTATGTACTGAGAGGAGGGATGGGGTTGGGTGATGTTAGGGAGGAATCACTGTGCTCAGAGTGGAAGAGTTGCCATGCACTGAATTTTAGTTTACTTAGTTTGTAAGTTCTGCTTTCCATGCTAGAACCCCTGGGAGTTGGGATGCATGATTGCTGTGCAGACATTCCTCTTTTGCAGTGTCAGGAAGTGCTGCACCTTGAAAGTAGGTTTCCTGTGGGTCTTAGGTTAGAATGAAAGGAATTGACGTAGGAAATAAGTGTGTACAGTTGCTTCAGCAGTTGTAGATTAATGGTCAGCTTGTTCATGTAATGAAAAGGATTTTGGTACTTTTCCGTATCATGGGCTTTGCCCTACCCCAAACATGAATTTGAGATCTTTTTAACAATACCAGGCCCAAATGGAGTGGCTGTCAGTGGAGAGTACCATGTCAATAACTAATCAGACTATGAGCTGATTTCCTTTTTTCCTTCATTACTTTCTTCGTTGAGGGGAGGATGTGGTAAAGGCTACTGCTCACCCTGTTGTAAAGCTGCTAAGCAAAAAGTTTGATGTAGGTACTGGCTTTGACTTTGGTTAATGTTATCAGGCTGGCCACTTTGGCCAATGGTGTTTCTGTGGAGTCCACCCCATTTTCAGCCCTTGGTTTTTTAGAAGACAGAGAGTAAGGCAATAAGCTGCAGACACAGAGTGGTGGTAAGTTTTTGGTGCAAGCAGAATTTAAGCTACAAATAAATATGCCAGCTAAAGCAGAGAGTGCTTTGCTGACTGGTGCATTTATTAACTGGAAAATTTTGAAAAACCTCAACCCACCACGTGTGTAGGCTATTGGCTCTGCTTTGGGCTTCAGTGTTCTTCTGGATAAAAATAATAATTACAGCCCTGCCTGTGTGGCTCGGTTGGGTGAAAGGATGCTGGTTTGATTCCTGGTCTGGGCACGTTCCCAGTAGGGGGCGTGTGGGAGGCAGTTGATCAATGTTTTGCTCTCACATCGATGTTTCTCTCTTCCTCTCCCTTCCTTTGTTTCTAAAAAATGAATAAAAATCTTAAAAAAATAATTATGTTATTCTGATGTGATTGCCAAGCATTCCTGATTCTCACTCCACTTGTGATTATAAATGATTCTGCAGCATGGATTGCTTTGTCTTTGATTTAATATTTTATAACATTTGAGTGTTACATTATCTGTACTGATTTGTCGTTTTCTTCTTTTACTTTTCAGAATGGACTGCTGAATTATGAAGTATTTCAGACCCAATACCAGAACATCATTCTACCACTCACTCCTTTATCTTCTACTAGTTATTTAAATTGAACTTTTAATATCCTACCAGCTGCTCTTCAGACACACATGGTGCATTGTTGCCATTCCCCGGATTGCATCTTTGAAACACAGGCTCTTGGTAACCTTCAGAGAACAAAGAGGCAACCTCCCGGGTACATTTACTGGGAGGGTGTCACCCTGACTGCCCTCTAGCTTTTGCTGCATCTCAATTTGAATTCCACCATGGAGCCTCGCATGGAGTCCTGCCTGGCACAGGTGTTGCAAAAGGATGTGGGGAAACGACTGCAGGTTGGCCAAGAACTTATAGACTATTTCTCAGACAAACAGAAGTCTGCTGACCTTGAGCATGACCAGACCATGTTAGATAAACTTGTGGATGGACTTGCTACCTCTTGGGTGAACTCTAGCAATTATAAGGTAAGCTGTGCATTAGAAGGCACTCTAGGTGGCTGGGCTGTCTTTGTCGGTCAGAATTTGTCCTTAAAAAAAAGTCCTTTGTGAGCAATCAGCATGATTTCTTGGCTTCCAATAGGACACTCAGTCAGGTTGTGGCTTTTGGATATTTCGTTCTAGAGCAAGTAGAGTTTTCTTGGATTTTTGTTGGGAGATCAAAAGTCCTTATCCTTTGGCACTTTGAGAGAAGGCCAAGTGAACAGATAAAGAGAGGGGCTTATGTTGGAAAGTTTACAAGCATTTACAGCCTTGAAGGTAAAAGTGAATATATCCTGCAAGACATGGGTCATGAGATCCTGTTGAGTGGCCCTTCCTGAACGAGAGATGTCCTCCCTGATTTTCTCTGGGGGACTTTTGTCACCTGTGTGTGATGGCCTGGAGCATATACTTCAGGTTCTAATTACAAGACTTTCACATGCCCTTGCCAGGTGGAAGGGGCAGGCAGGATCCTCTGACCAAGTGAGTTCTGAAGGTTTACCATATATACCAGTCAAGGACTGTTTTCATGAATAAAAGCCGGACTGGACTTGAAGTGCAGAAGAGGGGTCACTGTCTCCCCCTTCCACTCTTAGTTTGCCAAGAGGGTGGCCCTTTTGGATCAAGGTTGTGTTGCCAGTAGGTGCTGTAGACATTGTGAAAGGGGCTTACAGAAATAGGCCCAGTCTTCTGAGATTTACTTGGACTTGGAAACTAGTGCTTACGGTACAGTATTTCTGTGTTTACTTGAGTATATACTGGTTTCCAAGAACATTAAACCTTGGTCTTGTCTAAGAGTCAGCAGACTCTATGCTTATTAAGGGTGTTACATAGGAATCTAATATTTCACCTTCAACCTGATATAATATTTATCCTATCTTTAAAAGCTGGGCTTAAATTCTATTTCATTCATCTGCTTTATTCACTTAGCTGAAGTTTACCAAGTGCTCCTTACCTGCCCGTCACTGGTGCTGAGTGGTAGGAGCATTATAGAGTTGAGAGGTCAGACTTGAGTCATTACATTTTTGAGGGCTGTGAAGTCACCTTGTGTGCATTGGAATTCAGCTCCACCACTCTTTCTATGTACATATTAGGATGCTTCTGGTTGTGAGAGTAACCAAAAACGGACTCAGTTGACTTAAAGTTACTATAAGGAGACTGAATAATTTCCTTTAAGAATTTAAGAGGTGCACGGTAGTTAAGGGCAGTGTCTAGAGAAGAAGAGTGTCGGCTGGGTCTTTATCTGAGAGGAAACCTTTCTCAGAAGTTCCCAGTAGGCTTTTTCTCATCGCAGAATGGCTCTGCGTGCCTACCCCAGCATCACTGGAAAATGGATGGTGTCTATGGTTGCTTTTGACTGTTATACTTAACCTCCTGTTTTAAGAAGGGACTCAGCCTCTACTGAATGAAGCCTGTGGCCATGTGAAGGAGGGGAGATATGTGAACAATCTCAGACTTCTGTTAGGCAAGGGACCTGGGTACTATGGGTGTTAAATAAGTCACCTGCAGAACCTGCTGCACTGCATGAACTTTCTTAACCTCTCCAAGCTTCACTTTCCTCATCTATAATGTTGAGATGACTAATTCTAAGCACTAGACGAGAGAGTATATGAACGTTATCACATGCCTGCCACATAATAAACATGCAGACATTAGCAGTTGTCAGGACTTGGTTCCTGTCTTCAGGCAGCTCAGAGTCTGGGTGGGGGGGTGAGCACTGATAAAGAAGTGAGTGGCTACAGCGTAGTGTGTTCAGTAATGGAGATACACAGAATTCAGTGGAAGACAGAAGAAGAAAGTAGTAGCGCTACCAAGAGGAATCCAAGATTTTGAAGATTAGGTAGTTTTTTCAGAATAATGCTTGCAGGGTCACAAAGGCGTGAAAGAGGACGTCTGACCTTTGTGAAGTAAGTTCTGAGAAAGATTGCTTGGTAAAGAAGTCAGAAACACAGCTTTGGCTACTGACTGGCATTTAGTCATGGACAAGGCACTTTACCTGTCTGCAGTACAGCTGATCGACTGGTTCATGTCTGGGAGGCCTCGGGCTATATATCTCATATGACTTCATACAGATGGCTTTGCCATCAGGGCTATGTCTTTTTTTTTTAAAATATTTTAAAAAATATATCTTTATTGATTTCAGAGGCGGGGGGGAGAGAGAGAGAGACATCAGTGATGGGAGAGTCACTGATTGGCTGTCTCCTGCATGCCCCCGACTGGGGATCCAGCCCCCAACCCAGGCATGTGCCCTGACTGGGAATCAAACTTTGATCTCCTGGATCCTAGGTCGATGCTCAACAGCTGAGCCACACTTGGCCGGGGTAGGCCCATGTCTTGGGGTTCTCATTGTACACCATGCTGACACCCCCTTATTTATAAGCTCTCCAGGTGTGGTTCACACCTGGAGCAGACAGCCTGGAACATAGTAGGTGCTCAACAAATGCTGGTTACGTGCATGAACTCAGGAACTTAGACTGCTCAGCCTGTATTCCTGGTTTCTTTACTGAAATCTGGAAACAACTTTTAGGACCCCTTACCTTTTTTTTCTTTCTTAGTCATTGATCAAGATTTCTCATTCAGAGTCTCAGGTACATTTTAGGTTTTATTTGACGTGTTTTAGATATTACAGATTGACGGGATGTGCTTTATATTAAAGAAAACTTTGAGCTTGGCTTTCTGAGGTTTGTTTTTTGTTTGTTTGTTTGTTTTACTTTTTAGTTTAGGACTATAAAGATGAGAAAAGGGAAGTAATTTTGGACTCCCCAAACAATAGTACTTGGATTCCTTTTTTTAACAGGGAATGTAGATGAGTGCCAGCATAATGTCTTATTTTAAAAAATTGTTGGCTGGAACTTGAATCACTTTACCTTTGAATATTTCTTAACATGGCAAACAAATGTGTATTTGGTATTGATTGCAGTTTAATAGCTACCATTTGCTTACTGTATGTTAGGGGATTTTGTCTTATTTAATCTTTATAACCACCTGCAAGATTGGTGGTGTCCTACCTAATTTTATACATGAGATTACTGACATTACCCAAACTTATGAGATGATTTCTACTAGTGATTATGGAACTGGGATTTAAATACAGGTCTCTGATTTCCTAGCCAGTGCTCCTTTCATAAGAATGGGGGTCAGCACTTTCTTAAAGGCCATATAGTAAATAAGCCTGTGGCCATATGGTTTTCTTGCAAATACTCAGCTAGCTTGGTCCATCACAGTGCCAAAGCAGCCACAGACAATTCCTAAATGAGTGGGTGTGGCTGTGTTCCAATGAGGTTTAATTTACAGAAACAGGCGGTGCTGGTTTGGCCCATGGACCAGTTTGCTGGCCCTGAACTAGAACTTTGAGCACCTGCTATATGCCAGTCCTCTTTTTTTAGTTGTATAACCATTCATGGTTCATCTGGAAGAGTGAGGCTTATACTGTGCTTATACTTTGGGAACAGGGGAGCACTCCTTTAGATTAAATGGAGCACAGTTTGTTTTTGGAGCATGTTGTATCATATTTCAGGAAAACTTGCCTTTTTTAGCTTTTTCACTCAGACTCCTATTAGGATCGGTATGCATTCTGTTGATGTACCACTGATCATGTGCTGTGAGCTGGCTTTGGGCTTTCTTGGGAAATAGAAGTCCTATTGGTGATTGAGTAATTGGTTATTTAAATAATGCCCTCGAGTGTCCAGAATTCCACAGTGGGAGGGGCCTCTCTAAACCCCCACAGCCAGTGCTGGAAGGACTTAGTACGTTTTCTGTGACGTCACAGTGATTGTGCGAGACATAGATCGAGATGGGAGACTCTTTTCATGAGGCTTCTTTTCTAGGTTATACAATGTTAAAAAATAAAAAGAACAAGCAAAAAATCTGAATATGGCTTTCTTCATTGATCTGGTCTTTTCTTGATTAAAATTTGAAGAAAATAAAATTTGAAGAAAGAGAAAGATGGTTGAGTAGCATATACCTTCAGCCAGTGTTTGTGTTTTCCCTTTCCCTTCTGCCTCCTCTCTAGGTGAGAATGGACAAAAGGTAGGAGTGAGCTGATGGGAGAGGCTTCCTGGGCTGTGGGAGCTTGAGGGAATCGAGGGAAAGGGGCTGTGCCCTTTGGGCCAAACGCTGCAATCACCTGCACATTTAGTGGGCTTCTTGGAAACTGAACACCCTAGTGGGGACCGGGTGACTTTGTGAATATAGTCCCACAGCCCTTTCTTTGCAGTTCCAAATTCCCCAAAGCTCTGAAGACTTAGTGTTTTTTACTTGTCACCTGAGGTGAACTGATGTGCAACTACTTATAGTCTTTATTTACTTGCTTAGGGCGTGTTGCACGGAAAAAATATTAATATGTTTGATTGTGGGTTGCTGTCCCAGATTCTGTTGAAGGGTGTGTGTGTGTATGTGTATAAATATACATATTTATTTCCATTTCTGTTTCTATTTCTATAACTGTGTGCACTGTTTTCCCTTTCTAAAACCTGAAAAATTCTGGCCTATAGTATTTTAGATCAGTGATTGTGGACCTGTATTTAATATTGTGGAATGATAATAAGAGCCCAGAAATTGTGCTACATATTTGTTCATTTTTTTTTTTTTTTTAACATTATTGATTTCGGAGAGAGGAAGGGAGAGGGAGAGAGAGAGAGGAAAACATCAATGATGAGAGAGTCACTGGTCGGCTGCCTCCTGCGTGCCCCCAACTGTGGATCAAGCCTGCAACCTGGGCATGTGCCCTGCCTGGGAATCAAACCTCGATCTCCTGGATCCTAGGTCGATGCTTAACTGCTGAGCCACACCCGGCCAGGCTATCTGTTCATTTTTAACTTACAGTTACCATATGAGGTAGATATTGTTTTCCTCATTTTATAGCTGAGACTGATACCCAAATAAATCGAGGTGACAAATAACTCGTTCAAGGTGACAGAGCCAGTAAATAAGGTTTTTGGAACTTGACATCCCCTCTCCCCCAGGTGTTTATGCAGCTGAAGTGAACT